GGCTGACGTCAAGGGCCCAAATTCCTGCCTTTCCCTGCAGGCAGATTTGTCCATGTAAGGGCTGGGGCCGGGGCCGGGACGGCCGCACGGCGGGAGGGAACGGGGCTGGAGGCGGCCCCGACCCTGTGAGCATCACCTTCCTGCTCTGCATCCCGCAGCCAGGGCAGCCTTAGGCCCAGACATGCACCCTGTGCCTTGCAGGATCCAACTTTTCACAGGGAACTTCTGTCCAGGGCTCCTTTTGATTCTCTGGGTGCTTCTCCAGCCAGCTTTTAATCTGTTGCTCCCCAGCTGGGGCAAAGAGCAAGGTGAGAGGAGGGGAAAGGTGGAGGGAGTTCCAAAAGAGATGCTTGTTCACAAATTCAAAACAGGACTTGTCGCAAATACTAAGGAGAGGGGGAAGGGAAACTATTTTCTGATTGCTTTCTGTTTGATTGTTTTGTGGCTATTTCTAACGACTGCAGTTAAAATAAATTGGGATTTTGAGTGTGATTGTTTTTATAATTGAATGTTACCCTTTAAGTAGCTGTTCGGTATCTGCACCTGCCCTGAAGAGAACTGGAAGACAGAAAGGTTACATTGTGTTCAGGCTGCGGAGGGGAGCATTTCCAAGCCTTATTCATTTGGAAAGAGATTTCTGGGTGAGTTTGTAGGCACTTCAAATGTATTTAATTTTTAAAATAAAGGACTCTGGTGTGTGCTTTCAGAAGATGTTTGCATCTTATCCCATTACCAGCTTTAATGTCCACAGTCAGTGCTTGACAGCCCCAGGAGGGCAAGATTGCTCACTTGGACACAAAAAAAAGGACAGTAAGTGCCTAAAAGATTTAAGCTGTAGCAGAGAATTGTGATTCAGCCTCGCTCCACCTTCCTTGCCTGCCAAAACCACTGTACTTCCCAATCAGAGACCCCTAGAGATTTCACCCCCGCCTGGCAGAGCCCTCAGAAGGGAAGGCATGGCATTTCCTACATTTAGCCTGCAGCGTGAACCTCTCATCTAGGGTTGATTTGGTGTCCTGTGCTGGCTCTGTGTACCAGGGGTGTTAAATTTCCCCCAGGAACAGAGAGGCCTGCCAGGGCCAGATCATCTCCTTAGAAGCGCTCAGCTAAAGCTGCATGAGCAGTGATGGCTGCAGGTGTTTTCTAGGCATTAGGACTATGACTAGAAATACCTCATCCTTGTCCCAGCCGCCTACCTGGTGTTTAAACCCCGCTGAGATCCTAAACCAAAGCTGAACGGTGCATGAGTCACCAGGGCCCCGTGCCGTAGGTGTTACCTAGAGAGCCAGCAGTGCTCTGTGAACGCTGTGTCGTTCCTGCTCTTGTGAAAGACACGGGCACGGCTGATTTCCAGATGGAAGAGACTCTAGCACCAGCTCAACTGAGCAGCCAAAGCCTTTGCCTGAGGCCCTGCACACCCAGGTTCAGTCCTCTCCTGCAGAACCTACAGTTCACCTCTCTCCTTCCAGCTGAGTGCTGGGCTGTGAGGTCACGCTCCTTCATTGCAGGACAACTCACAATGGGATTTTCTCCCACCAGGAGCAGGTGGTCATCCCAAGGGGTTTCTTGGCACCCATGTCTGTCAGCCTCACCATGGAGGAGCTCTCGATGACAGATACGCACAGGAACTGTTGCCTGTTCTAGTTCTTTTTTTCTTCAAGTTTTCTTGCAGAGCTGAAACAGCCCTTGTGTTGTGTAAACTGGTACCTAGGGCAAGTATATGAATGTTAAAAAAGCCCCTTTGGCCTGAGATGAGAGACAAGTGTTCTCCATTTAGTATTTCAGACAAAACCAGTGGTCAAATATTTTCCTGGTCCCGTAGCCAACAATTATTGCTTCTTTATCCATGAAGCTTATGAAATTTTCCAGTGCTGTTAACAGAAGATAGAATATTGTGCCCATCCATAGCAGCCTCCTTAAAATGATCCCAAAAGTTTTAAGCTTTGAGCCTCCAGAGTTTGAGATAGTAACTACTACTACCTCCATTTTGCTGGTAGATGAACTGTGACTAATCCTCTGCAGCACAGCAGCAGAAGTTTGATTTGCAGTCCATTACACTTGTAACGTGCTGCCCAGAATGGTCACCGCCTTGTCAAACACAGCATGAATTTTCTGGGGTTTTTTCCTGTTTCCTATCATGACCAATATCATACACTTTGGAAATGAAAGTAGAAAATTCAAGGTGTTGAGCCTGGCTGTGAAAATCTGCTCTTTGCCTGGAAAGAATCAAAAATACTGGCAAACATACAATCATTCCTTTGGTAATATCCACTGCACCCTGTACCAGAGCAGCAAAATGAATTAAACAGCAAAAGACTGAAATGCCTGACATTGCTTAGGCCAGTCAGGAGACAAGAATACAGAAGTCAGCCTGGGCCAGTATTAATTCAAGGAAATTAAGTTTTTTAGTGTTTAAGGTGCATGACAGAAGATTGGAAACTTGGCTTCTGGTCCTACTTTCCCTGTATTGTGATTTTAGACCAGTCAGCTCACCTTCCCATGTCTGGAGGAGCCCTTAGAAACCCACAGCACAAGGTTTAGAATGGGGAATGACATGCCATGACCTCCTGTCAGACCCCATTCTGTGTAAAGTTTCCAGAAGTCAGCAAGTGAAACCTTGCTTTTCAGAGTTTGGGTCTCTCCTTTTCCATGAGATTTCATATGCAAAAAATCATAAAACAAAAAACTCAGGATGTAAAGAGCCCTTAGGAAGCCAGAGGAATTCCATCTCTCAGGCCATAAAGCAGGAGCAGTACTGCCTAAACTAAACTAAACTAAACTAAACTAAACTAAACTAAACTGTACCTGACAGGGATTCACCCACCTTGCTCATAAGAATATCTAGAGGGCCAATTCCAGAGCTTCACACATGGACATGTTTGCTTTATCTCTAACCCAAGTCACTTCTGCTGCAAGTCAGCTCTTAATCAGATGAAGTTGTGGGGAACTGACATACTCCCTCACTAGCAACAATTCCAGAACAACAGGAAAGTCGCTCACCTGGTGAACTAATTCTTCTGTGGGTAAAAGCCAAAGAGGCTGGAAAACACACTAAGCATTTGTTTTTGGGAGAGCTGCCACCTTTTACAGACAAAGATCAGATACAATTAGTGTTAGATCAGCTAGTGACTCCTCTGCCCCAAACCACAGCACTTTTCACCCACCCCGCCAGGAGGACGCCAGTTTCCACCAAGACATGCAGTGTCACACTTGACCCTTCAGTCCCCCAAAGGGTATTCTTGGAAGCACATGCAAAACCTGAGCTCACAGCAATAGCATTCCTGTGGCACTGGGGAAGGAATGAGGAAACACCAGCATGGATAGGAGGCAGACAGGAAAGGACTCATCCTGCAAGTCTGAATTAATTTCCAAACAGGGTTCTTGTTTCTGGTTGAGGGATACATGTGTGTGCTGCCTGGTAGAAGGAATCTAGAAACAGCAGTGGGGCTGAGCTTTGTCATTCCCCACTCTGCAGGTATGTTTCCACCCAGACAGGAATGCAAGACATGGTACTGAGCAGGCTTTAGTGAGTCACACATCTCTGACAGCAATTGAGACTGGGCCAAAACCCCAAGGGAACCTTCACTGATGAGAAATACAGCTGCAAACAAATTCCCCAATTTTCTGTGAATGTATCAGAGATAATGACCATCATCAAACCCTCCATCTCTGCACACATCTTGGAGTTGCAAGTGGTTCACAAGATGCTCAGTTTTACCTGGCCATCAGTCCTGTCCAGTTCTATAGACATATGGAATCTCTCCAATTCCATATCATTTCACTGTTTGCCATGGTGAGTTTGGGGTAGGTCAGGAAAGTATAAACCTTCCTGCAAATATTTTAGGCTCTGCTCCGTGCTCTGCTCCATCTACAGTCTAGGCCATAATTGCTGGTGCTTCAGGAATGGTGGTTTAGTAAAACTGCTATATTCCAGTGCTGAGAAGTACAGTTGAGCAATGTGCTTGTGTAGCATTCCTCATTTTAAGGACATGCTTAAATCCAATTTGAGTCCAGAGAGATTTCAGCTTAGATTTAAGCGTTCCATTGAGCAGGGTGGATTTAAGGATTGAAGTGTTTTGCTAGACTGTATCTCTGGTTAAGGAGGAAGGAGATTTGCTAGTGCCTAGAAGAAAGAACTGCCTGAAGCATTTTGGAGCATCCAAACCATTACTAGCACTACTACTTTTTTCTAATGAATTTTGATGAAATTAACACAAAGAATTGGTAAAGAAGTGGATAATTTCATTAACAATCCTCACTCTATGGATCACAGTTTAGTGGGGGAAAAAGGCAAACTTTTAGTATCTCAGCAGAATGATGTGTAATAGTTAAAGCAGAATTATAGATTTTGTATTTTATACCACCCAGTATCTTGCACAGTATCTCACTAATAGTAAATGTTTCATGTCCAGATCTGAACACAGAAATCATGAGTGCTTTGCTTTACAGGAAGTGAATCAGTTAAATATTTTATGGAGTCTACACTGAATAAACAGAGTACCCCAGTCTTAAAAGAAGTGTTTGTGGTACAAAATACTTTGGGGGACATTTTTGCATGGGCTCTGACCTCCCTGTAGAGAATCAAAGTGAAAATATTGAATATACTAAGCAGATGTCTTCTCCTAGTGACAGCAAGATGAGCAAAGACAGCTGGTTAGAAGAACAACAACAACAAAAACACATCATCATTCCTGCTTTGGCTCCAAAAAATCTTGGACTTGTTGTCATGGAAGAAAGTTATATATGTAAGAAGCCAAGAAAGAGACAAATATTATTGAATCTGGTAGCATTTTAGTGAATGTGCTGGAAATAACTTAAGTAGGAAGAAAAACTGGATGCACTCCATTGTTTATTAAAAGAATGCCTCTTCTTATTTCCACAGGGACCTATAGTGTATATAGGCATTAACACATTTGCAAAATACATATTTTAAATATGTTTCTTCATTCGTCAATCTTAAGGGCTCTTCCACTAAAGTAAACAGAGTTATAGCACATAGAAATATATACAGCCACAAAACATTATCTCTGCAAGCTAAAAATGCCAACTGTGGATTTTGTCTGTAACTCCTTCAATCAGGAAATATGGGTGTATTATGGAGACACCTAGAGAGATCTTAAATATTAGGAAGGGAGAAGATGAGAATATTACACTCCCTTGGTGAAACATAGAATAAATAATTCACAATGAAAAAACAAAAATGAAAAAGAAAACAAAAATTAAAATATGAAGAGCTGTTCTGGATGAAAATCAGTCTGAGCTGCATTGAACAACAGATCCAAGAGGAGTTTTTTGGCAAGACTGCAAAATAAGCCAGTGACCCTCTGGCCTCCCTGCTCAGAGGTAGCACATGTTCTCTTGATAGTTTTCATCTGAACAAAACTTGATTTCTGTGCTTGACCCCTGGACATTTCCATTTCCCTTTCTGAGCCTTTGGGCAGACTTGAGCAAAGAACAGGATTGATGAGAAGAGTTTAAGAAACCAAAAGCTGTGCAGTTGGTAATGGCAAAGACAAGCACCTTGAGGTGGATGTTTCCAGAGGACTAGGTAGCCCAAATCCCATGGTGCCATCAGGCAGTGCCCTATGCAACAGCAAAGCTCTGGATTTGCTGGCTCAGGAGCTGTCCTCCATGGATTCCTTCAACATACCTACCTGTCTCCTACAGAGGTCCTAAATGATTTAATGAAGAAGCAAGAGATTAATTTGGTTTATATTAAAGATATATACAAAGAAAATTATGTAAAGAGAAGTATTTGCTTCAGAAAACAACTGCCTTGAGAATTGAGAGCTGTGACCAATCTGACATACCAGCTTGTAAACAGAGGACAATGAAGTCAAAAGGAGAGGACATGGCTGCTGGGTCTCCAGTTTCTGGCTGCCAGCTTTGCCCTTTCTCCACCAGGTGATTAGGCAGTAATAGCTTCAAACGCAAATGGTTTTATTTACATAATTTTCTATACAGAAAACCAGGGTTAAGTATGTGGCTCTGCAACAGAACAGATGTGGGACTTGGGGAAAGTTGCAGCTTGAACTGAGCTGGAAAAGCTTCCACCATTTGCCAACATCTTGGAGAGTCTGGAATCTTTCCCATCTCTACTGTGACAAAAACAGGACTTCTCAACATTTTGGAGGACTTTCTCCCTTGTAATAAAGGACAAAAAGCATGCAGTGAAAAACAAATCCCAGTGCCAGAAGTGACTGAGAATCGGTTTTGCCTGTTTTAATTCCCCATCTTGCCAGCCTCAGCTCTAAGACCTGACTTACAGACACCCAGCCAGCCCAGGAATGACCATGCCACAATGAAGGAGCATTTCGGCCAGAAATTCCATGCTGACTCCAAGAAAACTTTTCCTAGAGTATCTAGCTAAAATGGATACACTCCCACACACACTACATGAAAGGAATCATGTCTGACAAATAAACATTTCTTAATGAGAAACATTTGTCCAACATGTTTCTCCCCAGT